AACGGTGCCATTGCGTGGCTAAACTGAGCCTATCAGGCAGTTGTGAGTTAGCTGAGTCCTTAGAGTCCAAGGTGAGTGGAAGTTTGCTACAACACTCCATGCGTGGTTAAGGTAACTCAGTTTCTGCAAGTTTTGCATTAGTAATAATGGAAAAAAAAAAACACAAAACACCCAAACAATTATGATAGGTGCTGCAAAAGAAACTCCTCTTCATCTATTGGATGGGAAGTCAATGACTGTGTACAATTTCCCCTGTAGAGCTGCAGGGCCTTCTTCCACTCCATTGTCTCTGCTGTCTGACACAACGGGAGAGCTGCTGTGGCCTTGCTGTGCCTGTGCTCCTCCAGGGTGAGCCGCTCTGTGAGAGGAGAAGAAACCCACAGGGACTCGGGCCACAATTAAGAACTGCGTCCTGCAAAGGAAAAGCACAGATCAGAGGGAGGATCAGCAAGCAGCAGCACGGCCATCACAGCTCTGGGGGAGGTGCTGTATTTTTCTAAGGCTTGGTTATCCTAGCCACTGGAGGATGATGCCAAAACAACCATTTTGTCACAGGGATGTTTATGGCAAAGGACAGACATAAGTGAGAGCAGCTTACTGTATTTAAGCAAGCAAACACAACTCCTAAAAAGTGAGGGCAGGTCAGTCAGAAACCTTCACTGCCATACTTGAATCAAGCCTCGTCTGCATGCAAAATATTGTCATGATAGCTACAGTTTTCTTCTTATGAGGTCTGGGTTTGCTCTCAGCATCCAGCAACAGATAAAGGCTGCACACGACTGCAGCAGCTGCAACGCAGCGTGCAGGTGCTTTATTTCAAGCAATCTTTGAGCCACGGGGTGGTGTGAGAATCCTTCTTTTTTGGCTCAAAGCTTGCTTCCTGATGTTTTTCTTGTGATAAGACTCTGAGTGACTTGTCAAGGAGGCAAGTGATGGGTGCTAACTGTGTGACAATCGATATCGATTGCTTTGGGAACATTTGAAAGCCCCTTCCCCCAGAGCTGCTTGCTCTGTAGAAGAGCGGAAGAGAGTGCTCAGGAGTGTTCACTGGCGGAAGATCTGGCCTGTGACTAAACCGCTCCAGCTTAGTATGGGAGGCTGGGGGATGATACCATTGTATCCTACGAAGGCAAGATACAAGTTGGTGCCTCCCTGCTTCCTCTTATCTGCTGGCAAGGCCAGAAAGATAAGAACAAAGGAGGTTCCTGCTGAGATCCCAGAGCCAGAAGCTGCCACCGCAAGAAGAACTGACTCAACCACCTTGGGTTTGAGCTGTCACTCAAAGGAGAGCTGACTCGACTACTTTGGATTTGAGCTGTCACTCCAAAGACAGCTGACTCAACCACTTTGAAGCATTGAAAAAGGGCCATCATCGCCATGGACATCGTCGCCGTCGTCGTCAATAGAACAACTCTGCCTGACGACCCACCACTACTGAGGATCAAAGATGAAACTACGAACCACGCTGGATCCATGGTGCTGACTATCTCCCTCTTGCTGCCTATAAAGACTCCTTGCTTCTTCTCTTCTATCTTTTCTGTCTCCCTCCTTCCCTTCCCCATTACCCTAATCATAATAGTGTTTGTCCTCCCCTTCCCCATTTCCCTGATTAAGATTTGTAATAAACTGGTCGCACCAACATTTGAACCGTTGCTTCTTAATCTCACGCCGGGTATATAGATAAAAAAAGAACCTCCTCTCCCTCCTATAAATTGGAGCGAGACAGTAACTAGACGGAATGGCTTCAAGCTGCACCAGAGATTCAGGCTGGATGTTAGGAAATACTGCTTCTCTGTAAGAGTGGTCAGGCACTGGAATGGGCTGTTCAGAAAGGTGATGGTGTCACTGACCCTGGAGGCGTTCAAGGAATGTTTCAAGGATTTTGTGTTGAGGGACATGGTTTAGTGAGAACTATTGGTGATAGGTGGATGGTTGGATTGGATGATCTCGTAGGTCTTTTCCAACTTTGGTGTTTGTGTGCTTCTGTGATACCGTGAAAGCAGTTCTGTGAGCAAGATTTATTGATGTTAGATTTGAATTTGCAGCTCACCTTCTTTGTATTGGTCATTTGGTGTTTCCACACCTGCTTAAATTTGATTGCAGTTATGTGTTTATTTTCCAGGTGTTTTTTTTTTTTTTTTAAATTTTGTTCATTTATTTATTTCCTGTGATATGGTCATCTTTTCAGTGTAGTTTGTAATTTGTTGTGCAACATTTCACTTTATTCTATTCTTAAATCCTCATCACTACATTGCTGTTACTAGAATGCTGACTACACACTTTTTCACTGAAAGAAAAGCTCTGGATTTTAGTAACATTTTCTCCTTTTTTTTTCTTTTTCTTTTTTTTTTTTTTTTTAACGTGTATGATAGTCTATCCAGAAAGCTGCTAAATCTAAGAACTTTTTGCATAACAAATTCAGTATGTTGTTCAGCAACATGTTCTTGAAAGTGCAGCTGAAACATAATTCATATTCTTCGTTTCAGCAAGTTTTCAAAAGAACCTCTTGAGTTCAAGATAAAGGAGTGTTTGTACAGCAAGGTAAAGGTGATTTTCATACTGCTTTCTCGTGCACATAGCTAATTTGGAAGTATGCAAAATTGTTTTAGAGGCAGAATGTTCTTGTTTCACAGTATTGCATATATGCAATCCTGCATTCAAGATGGAGGAAACCTGCCTAGGTATTTTTATTACTTGAAGAACTGTAGGAAATAAACATTGTAAGTTCTGTCTCCATTCCAAATCCTGTTATTTCAGTCTGATTTTACTCACTTTATAGTAGGCCGCTTCATTAGTACTTGGCGAATTAAAACATTGGATAGACTGAAGTTGCTATCCATATTTTTGCCATTAATAATAATAATGATTGAAATTGTGAAACCCTGATTATTTTGATTTATTTTCTGTTCAAGTGAAACCCCCGTTGAAATCAAAGATTTGACTAAGGCTTTCAATTTTTTTCTATTTTAATCATCCACTCCTGCACTCTTTCTTACCACACCTTCCATTTTTTCGACTTCATAACCTTCATTATTTTAATATTAAGCTTTAACATGCACACTTTTTTCTAACTCTTAGCTTGCTTAGTTTATAATTAGGAAAAAAATCATGCTGAACAATAGAAAATGTGTTTATATTGTCGTTTGGAGAAACTGATAGATCCTAAGCCTTTTCACATGTACTGTTCTCATTAATTCTTACAATTTTGAAAAAAATATATAGAAGCCTTGTAATGACAACATATTCTCACGGCAACTGGGCTTATTAGCATCTCAGTGGATATTCTTTTTCTTGTATTTTATTATTTTATTTGCCTGAAGTATGCCAGCCATTTGAATCTCAGAGGCCATGCATTAACCTACAGCTACCATCTAAACTATCACAAACTGCTGTTCTGAATACTGATTGTTCAACAGTGTGAAGCTCAATGAGCACATCAATGCAAAGAATAGATTACTTTGTATTATATTTAGTTATGTCAATATATCTAGCATTCACTGTGCATTGCTGTAACTTTCTGAAATATCTGTAACATTCCAGTTATTTACAGTGACTTTGGAGTCTTATTACATATAGCGAGTAAATATTATGAAAATTCCCCAAATATCTCTTCTGCATTCACCTGTCATGCTTTTGCTTGCTATCAAAAAATCACATGGAATGTTTATAAAGGATGTTATGTGCTGAAGACGTATAAGTTGTTTCCTTCCATGTAACAGACATGCACACTGACAATTGATTCCTGAGAAAACTATTGACAATAAAATGTTTTATTTCACTGAAATAAAACCCAATGCATGTTCAAGGTTTATAGACATTCTATTAGATATAATTCCATATAAAAATGAATTCACACTGTTAAATTTTCAGATGCAGGAAAAAAATAACTGAATGTTTGTGGAGATTTTAACTGGTAGCAAAATACAGGTAGAAGCCCAAAAATTACTTCCTAAGCAATTCCACATTATCTTCAAATCCCTTACAATCTTTCACTCTTATTCTTTAAAAGACAAGTAGTACATTTTTCAGTCAAATTAACTTAATTGGTTAGGTATTGTTAAACTCATATTCAGTGCACTGAAATGTTACAGTCTGCAATAACTTAGAACACTATTTTAACCGTATCTAAATGACATTATTGTAAGAAAAAAAAATTAGTCAAATTGTTGCTCCACCATCAGGGTTTAGGTAATAACACATGACTATTTATAATAACAATAACAATAGTTGTAAAAAAATTCTACAATCTGCACTACTTCTGGGCTATGAAGGCAATCTCTGTATCCAGTACAAGAATTTAGGATCAGCCTATTATTTTTATACCATGATTTATAGTACCGTCATTCAAATCCTGAACAAAATAAAACTTAACTTCTTACTTTGGCCTCTACCATCTGAAGAAAATAATTTATTTTGCTCTCAGTCATGGTATATGCACTGACACCGAGCACATTACTGCTGTTCTTTGCTCAGTTCATACACACAAACAGAAATAGCTTACAGTACATTTTAGACATAATGGCAGCGTAACACCAGCAGGGATTGAACTTGTGATACCTAACAAAATCATTCACTTAAATTAAAATATTTAGCTCTTTTATCCAAGACTGGAGCAGACCATACCATATGAATTATACAGTTACTATTAGTGCTGTAAAAATACTACACTGGGAATGATCTTTGCGTAGATATATTTCTATAGGACTTTGGTTTACAACCTCATTCATGTAGGAGACTAAGGCACTATGCTGCTGTTAGAGAAAATAGATTTATTGTTCACAAAGCGCTACTGCTGAGGAATGTTAAAGTCACCTTTAAATCAGTAGTATTAGAGAAATGTAAATTAAAATCTTGTGGCAAAAGTTATTCCAGGTAATCATAATAAAATAAATTAGCTATCAATTCCAAATAATGTGCTCTATCTTTTCACTAGTAAAACATTTCTGATTGCTTACACACTGAATAGAAATAAAATATCATCCTTAAAAAAAAAACAAACCAACAATCTTTCCAAGGAAAAGGAAAAGGAAAAGGAAAAGGAAAAGGAAAAAGGAAAAGGAAAAAGCTGGACACTGCTCTGAAACGTGGACACTCTCAACTCCTTGGTGCCAGATGGATTGCATCCTGGAGTGTTAAGGGAGTTGGTGGATGTGGTTGCCAAACCACAGTCCATCATCCTTCAACCGTCCTGGCTAACTGGGAATGTCTGGGTGGACTGGAGACTGGCAGATATGAAGACCATCTTCAGAAAGGGCCAGAAAGATGATTCTGGTAGCTACAGACCTATCAGTCTCACCTTGGTGCCATGGAAGGTCGTGAAACGGATAATCTTGGGAGCCACCATGGATCAATGAAAGGTCAGCCATGGGATCAGGCCCAGACAGTATGGGTCTGTGAATGGAAGATCCTGTCTGACAAACCTGATTTTGTTCTATGACAGGGTGACCTGCTTAGTGGATGAAAGTAAGGCTGTTGATGTGGTCTTCAGTAAAGTCTTTGACACTGCCCCCCACAGCATCCTCGTGGAGAAGCTGGCTGCCCATGGTTTGGATGGGCATTCGCTCTGCTGGATGAAACACTGGCTGGATGCCCGAACTCAAAGAGCTGTGGTCAGTGGAGTTAAATCCAGTTGGAGGCCAGTCACGAGCATTGTCCCCCAGGGCTCTGTTCTAGGGCCGCTTCTATTTAGCATCCTTATTAATGATCTTGATGAGGGGATGAGTGCACCCTCAGTAAGTTTGCCGATAACACCAAGTTGGTAGGGAGTGTTGTTCTGCCAGAGGGAGGAAAGGCATTACAGAGGGACCTGAATCGAAGAGCCAAGGTAAACTGTATGAGTTTCAATAGAATCAAGTGTCAGGTCCGGCATTTTGGTCACAACAACCCCAGGCAACCCAGGCTTAGGGAGGAGTGGCTGGAAAGCCACCTGACAGAAAGGGACCTTGGTGTGCTGATGGACAGTTGGCTGAATATGAGCCAGCAGTGTGCCCAGGTAGCCAAGAAAGCCAATGGCTTGTATCAGGAATGGTGAGCATTTGAAATCTGTAAGTAAACCAGGAGATGATTAGACAAGCTGTCTGGAATTTGAGGACAGTCAGTTACTGATAAACCATGATGACAGATAGCCAACAATGCTTTCAAAATATCAGTGTGCTTTCCGAATTGTTTTCAGGCACAATATTTCTAAAGACCTATTCTTATGTTTCTTATCTGTCACACTGGTACTTGTAAAATGCTATTGAGATTGTGGTTTGCAGCCTTTAACACATCAGCTAACATAATTTCGTACTATATAACTAATATGCATTTAATTTCTGGTTAATGCCTTTGAATTACAGTAATAGCACTGAGGACCATTACTGCTGATGGGCACAGAGGCCGGACACATGGGCAGCATGACAGAAATATAATAGATGTATGGGCTTACTTAGCTACTGTCAAGTGCAGAGACACTACGATAAACATTAAACTTTACATGAGTACCAATCTAATGTTTTAATCCATGTTATTGTAAATACTGCAAAGCAGGTTATGTAGAAGATCTGTGCTTCAGCTTTTTCACATTTCTCTAGCTGCATGGATAATTAGACTTCATGCAGGTTGAACATTGGATGGTAGAATGATCTTGGTAGAACTTAAGTGGCCATTTGTCCCCTGAATAATGGAAGTAGGCTTTTAAAACAGTTCAATGAAAGGTATGAACTCACATTTCTACATCCACTAATACAGCATAATAGACAATTTCTATTTATTTTTTTAAATTGCTGTGATACAAAATGTGCCTCAAAGTACAGTTAGTAAATCTTCAGGCAGGCTTGGAGAAGTTTAATACATATATAATACATGATGCATACAAAACAACACAACGTCTTGTGAAGTGTTAAAACTGGACTTTGACTTCCATTCATTTTAATACTGTTCAAAGAAACATTAAAAAACAATCAAAGAGTGACAGTAAACATGAAAATGAGGGGATGACTTCAGGAATGTAAGCAAGTATCTTTTCTAATCACAGCTAGATAATTCTGATGACTTCTTCATGCTCTCTTTCTTCCTGTTATCTCAGTTCTGTTTAAGCTAGCTAAATATCAAGTAATCATTGAATCTGAGCAAGCTCTACTAATTCAAGTGAAGAGTTATACAACGACTACTGTACCTGTTACACTGAGTAATGCATTCTTGTATGTCAGTATATGGAAAGTTTCTGTGAAGAAGAAACCAAATTCAGCACTTGTATTAAGTAGCTCAAATTTTCAGTGAAGACTCAGTATAAGAACATTTGCATACACATTCACCATTCCTTTAAACAGAGAAAATTAATATTAGGAAAATGATGTTCTCAACCTCCCTTTATTTTTGTATTTGATCTTAAGAAAACTAACACTAACTCTTTCTGTTATCGTAACTCAACTCACATATTTCACAGAGTCACAGAACTGTAGGGTCTGGAAGGAACCTCTAGAGATCATCTAGTCCAACTTCCCTACCAAAGCATGCTCCCTTGACCAGGTTGCACAGCTAGGCATCAAGGTGTGTCTTGACATTTACAGAGAAGGAGACTCCACAGACTCTCTGGGCAGCCTGTTCCAGTGCTCCATTACCCTTACTGTCAAGAAGTTCTTATGCACATGTGTGTGGAACATCCTGTGCTTCAGTTTGTGGCCATCTCCCCTTGTTTTATCACCAAGCACTGTTGAAAAGAGCCTAGCCTTGTCTGTTTGCTTTCCTCACCTTACATATTTATAGGCACTGACCAGATCCCCTCTGAGTCTTTTTTTCTCAAGGCTGAACAGCCCTAGGTCGCTCAACCTTTCCTCATAAGGAAGGTGCTTCAAGCCTTTTATCACCTTTATGGCCCTCCACTGGACTCCTTCCAGGAGATCCCTGTCATACTTACCTGTTTCACTTTATGTCTTTGCTAACACAAGCAACCTAATAGCAGTAACAATGATGACAACAACTACAACAACAGTAATTATAACAACAATAATAATTCAACATAGCAAATGTTGCACTTACCATATATAAGGCTGGGATGCAGTTCTGCATATACTGGAAATCTCACCTGCATCTTGCCTTCACAAGATTTCCAGAATTGTAGAATAAATATGGCAGCATAAACTCAGTTGAAGAATTCAGGAGGAATTTCTGATGCTACAGTAATATTCCCACAAGACAGTCAGGATATCATCATTATTTTTAATGAATATTCATATTGAACTTCCAGCTCACAAAAGATGCTATCATTATTTCTTGAAAGGTGGTGGGTTTTTAAATATATTATGACACTTTTTTCCTTTCAAAAGATGTTCTTATAAAAATATCTGCATTATTCAGTTCTGATCAGATCCATTTCCAGTAGTATAAACATATCATTCTGAAGAGTAATTAGATACAGAAAATAAAATACAATCAATGTTGAGAACTTACAGAAGTGCAGATAAACAAGTGCTCATGATATTTTTCAACAGATGGTTAGAAAAAATCAGAATCTCCTTCTAGATTTTCTCTTCTAGGTTCAGAATATACAATTACAGTTTTTATAATTCAAACTGAGAAAAATGTAGAATCAAGAAGGCTTCAGCAGATCAACAATCATCCTTTAAAATAATTTTGTAAACACATACAAGCATTTTATTCAAACTTAGACACAGTTCTAAAAATCTTTTTTTTTCCTCTCTGTAATCATATATACTTGTTTATTTGCTAAAAATCTAACAGTGGATTTTTTTATTTTTTTTTTTCCCAGTGAATGACGTAATATTATTGTTTCTTCTTTGGCTTTGAACTACTATTCAGAATTGTAGCCAGTGTCAACAGCTCCTCTAATTTCAGGTCGGAGGTTTCTTATTCTCTGGTCATCACTCACAGCTATAATTTGAAAATACTTCCCTGTCCTTCATTGAGTCCTTTTAAAGCACTTCAGGTAAGTGCAGTAAAGGAAGACAGAGTTAGTACAGTTCAACCATAAATAGTTTCTCGTTCTTGTAATACACTTGGGATGAGAGAGCAGAAGATGATAGTGACCCAAGTAGCAATCACTAACAAGCATTAATTTACAGAAGAAAAAAATAAAAAATAATAATAATAATAATAAAAGAGAGAGATCAGTACAGGAGCTTAACCAGAAAGGTATCTTACGCAGACCTTGGAAGTTGGAAATCAATAAATAACAAGAAATCCAGTAAACTTGAGAGTAGGAAGAGAGTTGCAGGGATGGTGGTGATACAACTGGATATCTTATATTGCGATGAAGGCTGAGCCTCGGGAAAATCTAAAATAATTCCTTCTTTTATCCACAGGACTTCAGGTTGATTCAGTGATATCAGAATGGATATAAAAGGCAGCAGGACTAAGATTCCATCGGAACAATAAATCTTGTATGTACTGCTTTTCCAGTTCAAGTATCTTCAATTAATAGAGTGTCAGAAGAGGAGAGTCAGTTAATTCATTTTTATGTCATTAAATCTATTGTCCTGAAAAACAACTGAAAATAGTGTGTAAGCAGCCTTACCTTCATTGTGTCTTCAGATTATAGAAACCAGATTCAGTAACTAAGACAAGGAACATTTATATGACCTCTAATGCTTCTGCTTAGGTCAGTGTAGGATAGATTTGTACAGGCAGGTTCTGTCCTTCCATCTGCAATATAAAGGAGTTCATTCTTCTCTCAAACAAATTCCATTGTATGCACTTTGATGAAGCAGGTAAAATAGAATTTGTCTATTTTTTCTTCCGGCTCTCTGAGGTGGTGTATTAAAAGGTGTTGCTTCCCCTCACAGACACTGAATTGATTACATGGATTTCTCCATTTCGCTGCTGAGAGGTTACAGATCAGTAGCACTATGCTGTTCACTGATGTTGGAGTATCAAACCCTCATTTCAGAAGTTTTCTGATGACACAGCATTAGTATACAGCTCCCAGAAAGCTGAAATAACTCAGTACTCAGTAAAGTATCACCCATGCTTGTCTTTCCAAGTCAAAGAAATAATGTGTGTGCATCTTAAAGCCAAGCAGAAGCTTAGTTACATATGTTTTCTTGGGACAAATCAAATTCCAGTTATTTTAACATGCTTAATAGAATTGTTTCATGTAAAATTCATTCCTCATAAATACTACATTTCAAAACAGTGTGCAAACAGTACAGTGGATATTATTTTTGTAGTGTTATAATACAGTTATGGAGTCAAAAAAGTTAGTTACAAAAAAGTAGGCAAAATATCAAGAAGGAGAATTTTTATATATATATATATATTTCAGTGTCTGCTGAAGTGAAACAGGGAATTTCTTTCAACTTTCACTGTTTTTGGATTAAGGTTCTGCAAAAAGAAGCTTGTTAGCCAAGCGGAATGTGTGATACTGATATACTGATTCAGGTAGGTGCTATAAAACTATTACAGAATTGCTGTTAATAGAACAGAGAGAAAGTCGTGATCCTGTTTTAACTTTGGTTAAGGACATGTGTACCTTGGAATCAGCTACCTATTAGTGTCTGCAAAGATGAAAACATCTCTGTATGTTTATAAATAATATATAAATTAAACACCTTTTTTTTTTTTTTTTTTTTTTTTTTTTTTTTAAGAGAGAGAGAAAGTGTATGGCAACTGGAGAGAGGAAGATATTATCAGAAAAAAAAACACCCAAACATTTATCTCTGATTTTAAGCATAGATATAGATCCTTAAATTTATACTTTAAGAACTGTGACCAATGTTTCAAAATGCCTAAACTCTAGAAATATTTTGGTGATCTTCGGTTAGCTCAGTGTTAACTGGTTCATACCAAAATTAAATGCAAGAAATGAATATCTTTGCTGGGTAACTTACATTACTTGAGTTTAGTATTATCATAAAATTACAGAATCTTCTGAGTTAGAAAGTCATCTAATCCAACTCCCTTGAAATGAATATGAACAAGTTGCTCAGAGCCTGGGCCAGCCTGATCTTGATTGCCTCCAAGGACAGGTGATCCATCCACCACCTCTCTGGGTGATTCCTTTCAGTGCCTCACCACCTTCAAAGTAAAAAAGACTTCTTTGTATCTAATGTGAATTTATCCTTTTATATTTTAAAACCATTTACATTTGTCCTATCGCAACAGACCTTGCTGAAGAGTCTGTCCTCTTCTCCTTATAGCCCTCCTTTAGATACTGAAAGGCTACTATCACATCTCCCCAGAGCCTTCTCTTTTCCAGGCTGAACAGTCCCAGCTCTTTCAGCCTGTCCTCACAGGGGAGGTATTCCGTTTCTGCTCATGCTCTAACAGATCCATGCCTCTCCTGTACTCCAGAACTCCACGTCAGGATGGAGTACTCCAGATGTGGTCTCACCAATGCAGAGCAGAGGGGCAGGATCATCTACCTTGACCTGCTGACCACCATTATTTTGGTGCAGTCCAGGACAGGAGTGGCTTTCTGGGCTATGAGGGTACACACTGCTAGTTCATGTCCACTTGCTATTGACTAGTATCCCTATGCCCATTGTGGCAGGGCTGTTCTCTGTCCTTACATCCTTCAACTTGTACTGATACAAGGGGTTGGTTGCCATTACCCATGTGCAGTACCTTGCACTTGGATTTTTTGAACCTCATGAGGTTCTCCTTGCCCCACTGACAAAGGCTGTCTAAGTCTCTCTGAGTGGCATCCCATCCCTCAGTCATCTTGACCTTATCACATAGCTTGTTGTCATCCACAAACTTGATGAGAATGTACTTGATCCCACTGTCAATGTCACTGCTGAAGATATTAAAGAGCATTGGTCCCAGTACTGACCCCTGAGGAGCACCACTTGTTACTTTCTCTATCCAGACATTGAGCCAATGACCACCACTCTCAAGGTATGACTAGACTAAACTTTGTTCATCAGTCTACCTTTCAAATCCACACATTTTGAATTTGAAAAGAAGGATACTATGGGGACTATGTCAAAGTCTCTACTGACATTAAGATAGATGACATCAAGCATTTTCCTCATCCGCTGATGTAGTTATGCCATCATGAAATCCACTGATTATCTTTTCAAAATTAGTTCTTATTTGTAACACTGAACATTATAAATTGTATTTTCTTTACACAGCAGTATCTAATAGCTTTTACCTGAAATGAGCTTGTTTCTGAAGAAACAAAAATTGGATTTGCTACTTTTGAACATTTTATCTTTTTTCTTTGTCAAATCCTAACCATTTTAAATGCATAGGTTTTCTTCAGTTTTGTTTATTTTGCGGGGTAATTTGATAAATTAATGCATATTTTGTAAAGCAAACAAGTGTCTGGCAGTTAGTACATAGCAGGATAACAGAACTGCTCTTTGATTTGCGTAGTAGTGTTCCTGTTAAAAATTTTGCTTGACAGTCTTTGAGATTAAATTCTTTTATATAGAATGAGTGTGTTAAGTCAAATTATGTGCATCTGCCTAAACCACTTTCTTCTTGTATCAAGCAGTCTCAGAATTCTATAATAATCCTTCCTTCCTAAAACTTTGGAATTGTTTTTCAGACACAGTCTTTGTTTCTGTGTTTAATTGTTACAATATCAATATGTCTTATGTACTTTGATACATTCAATAAAGTGCACTAGCACAGCAAAATATCATGGCTCAGTATCAACTGATTCATAGCAAGCAAAGAAATATATTTCCAAGAATAAATAAGAATTGTAATTTTTTTTTTTAAATTGTCAGCAATACCTGTAGACAGTATCTTCTAGAACTAACAGTGCAAAGGCAGATATACATATGCAATCATAACACCAAAAACAAGATCACTACTGTATTGTAATTAATAAGTCATTCTCTTCTCTGAGGCAGTTCTTTTGTTTATTACATAATCCTAGAATGCAATGAAATAGCAAGTATCAACTACTAACAGTGTTACACTACATTAGACTCCTTATCTGGTTTGGACTAACGGGCTTACAGCAGGTCAGAAAAAGACTCGTGTGAATACTAAGGACAGAGAACTGTCTAAAAAGTAAGCAGCTAATCAGCAGTATTTAACCTGTAGGAAAAAATAATTACTGTGCTTTGACTAATTATAGAAATATAGAAAGGCCCCATCCATACAGAATTCAGAGATTTACAGTGCTTTCCTTCACACACACAACAGTCTGGCTGAAGTTTTGGCCCTGAAAGCATTGCCCCAGCAATCTTTACATTAAGATCTGCAGCAGTGAACTGTGGCATCAAGTTAATTACAGGTGACAGAATTTATTGTGCTATCGTGTACCAATGAAAAATCTCAGTTGTCATATTCTTCCAGATAAAGATTTTTCGCATGCTTTGAACCATTAAGACAAGGTGATCCAGTGGTCCTGAGGACAATAATAGCATGCATTACTGAGGGATATTTAAAAAGGTGTATGTCATTAAAACTTGCTTAAAACATGCAATTGAACTTAAGTGCTGTTTTCTACTCGGAACTTCATAGGCTGATGAAAAACTAACTACCAAGTGGGATTATTATGTTTCTAACATTTCTAATGAATAAACAGCTTTCTTTCAAACAACCAACACAGAAGATTGTTTTTATGTGTTATTACTCTGAGTTACATTACCCAGTTAAAAACACCCCACATGTAAGGGAATCTACCCCTCTGAACACAGAAAATAGGCAGTTATAGAAATTCAAACAACAAAACGTTCCCTCGTGTTACATAAGAAGACTGGAGAAACCAGCAGACCATCTAGCAAAAATAAAAGTGTACTCACTGTACTGAATGTGAACTTGTGGAGGCTTTTTTCTTAACATAAAACCAGCCAGCATTCCTTCACTCATCAACTATTTTGAACATGCACTGGACATCAAGGGTTGGCAATGAAGATAAACACGTCATTTTTCTACAAGGGAGGCATTACAAAGAAGTTGTTCTTACATGGTAAATAATAGAAACTCACTGAAGAGTGGGATGAAATAATGCAGTTCTTCCAGTACTTTGCTGCGTGGGTGAATACGGACACGAATCTGCCAATCTTATTTCTAACTTCTGAAGAAAACACAATGGCTCAGCTGTGAAAAATTTCCTGGACTGTCAAGTAACCGGAAAGAAAGAATAAAAAAAAACAACAATGAAGACTGATAATGCTCTGCTTTACCTAACATAGTAATTATAACCTCATGTGCTGTTTTATCCCCTCACAATTACTTGGCCCTGTGCAAATGTTTCAATATATTGATATTACAATGAAAAACAAGTAGACAAAAGCGTGGTTTTACCAACACGCCTCTTTCAGAAGCCCTATTTATTAGTATGCCAGTTTCAAATTTAGCGTTAACATATATTAAGCTAGGAAGAGAGTCACTATCATGTTAATATCTATTAGTCATTGTAATTATGAAAAAACAACTAGATATGTGTTGCATCACCTTGATTGAATATCCCTGTGATGCATCTCTAGTTTGCATCTACTGACCTCCTGATCCTCTGGGAGATTAGCAAAAATGAACCAAATAAAACAAGACTTCTCACCTGGGGTTTGGTTTCCAAATGATACTCAGCACCCAGCGTGTACATCTTCTGTTATCCTGGTCTATATTTGTGCTGTCTATTTTCGTGTCACATCACCAAAATCTTTTCTCCTTAGGCTTGTTTTGAAGTGTTAAAGATGACGTCTCAGCCAGATGGAGAGCCAGCTCCAGGTACAAGAGGTGTACCAGCAGAACCAGGAGTTACTAGGGTAGGAAAGTACAGGATGGCATCCCTTTTTGGTGCTGTCTGCCACACTGTGGGGTCAGCTTACAGCCCCCCAGGGAGAAACGCGTGTCATCTCCTCGCACAGCAATTAAAGACCGCTGTGACATTATTTTAGGATTTGGCGTCCTCAGTGGGTGAACCCAGCACCGGCCTGCATGGCACCATGAGGCCTTTTGGCTCAAACATCAATCCCAAACCCCACAGAAACAGGGAGGCTGCAGTGTGTGTCCTTCATGCAGCCCCTGTGCTTGAGTCAGAGATCGCTGACGTACGGCAGTGCCCCATTTCTGCTGCGGTACGACGTGGGATTGCTGAAGTCGCTGCAGATTTGGAGAAAAGACAGATCATCTCCAGAAAGCACTCCCCATACAACTTGTCCACATGCGTGGGGCACAAGCCCCATTCTGGGGGCAATGACTCACGCCCCCCTGTCACAGCCGTGCGCCGAGGGCACCATCACCCCCCTGTGCACAGCTATCAACTTGTCCCAAGACTCCACACAACCCACAGGCATCCCTGCCCCCGTCCTCAATCCCATGGTGACATCAGCATGGACTGAATTGGGGCAGGGGATGTGGGGGGACTTGAGACATGAGGGGATGTGTGGGGACACAGGGACATGTGAGGACATGGGGTGGAGGTGTGGGGTCAGAACTGCAGAGGTGAGATGAGGTGACACAGGGTGGTGGCAGGCCGTGCCAGGAGGTGCCGGTGCCATTTGAGCAGCGCTGCAGGACAGATGAGCAGCACCAGCCCAACCTGGGGGTGATGGTGACACTCCGGGATGTGGAAATGCTATTGGTTTTCAAGCAGGAGTTCGTTATCTATACATAATACTGCACTTGTTTGTTTTTGTTTTAGTTTGTTTTTTTAAGTCAGTGATAGTATGCAGCCTGAACCCATGTCTTTGAAAAGTGCAGTTTAACGATTGTCAGCTGAGAACAGCAGCAGAACATGGGGTCGTCACAGGGGGAAGCCACAGGGAAGGAAGCGAGGAAAGAAAGGAGAAAGCCTGAAAAAGGAATGGGGAAGGCACAGGGCGAAGGAAAGGGCAAGACATAGGGGAATGAGGGGCAAAAAGACAGAATAGCTGTAGAGCAGCCTAAAAAGCAGCAAGAAGCTCTGGGAGGAATGTCAAGTGCCAGATTCTGTATCAGGTGTGTATCTGTGTGCATATGTTGCCATTACCCGCTTTGGTCAGGGTTCTTGTCAGTTCTGAGCTCCTGCAGTGGGAAGAGCTCGAGCAACTGGTGCAGTCGCTGCAGACCTGTGCGATGGGGGAGTGCTTGATAAGGACAGCCCTGCAGCCCTCAGCTGGACAAACTTGCTCCGTGTGCCCAGACTGTGAGCTGCACAGTGCCCGGCTGCACTGCTCCAGCTCGGAGCCCGCTGCCTGCAGCTGCATCTTTGCTTCCTTCCCTCCTGCCCAGAGCCTTGAGGGTGCTCCCACAGTCCCCCGCCCACCCCCAAAATGTCACAGAAGACAGCTGGCAGCGAGCTGAAGGAATCCCAGCACCCTGTTTTCCCTCTGCCTGCAGCTCTCTCCTCCTCTGCCACACGGGGCTCCAGCCTGCGAAATGGGAATGGTCGAGGGGAAAGGGAGTGCTGGCAGGAGCGACTGCTACAGCTGGCCGGGGAGGGTCTGCATACCCCGCGCCCTTCTGGGCTATCTGTCCAGCTGCAGGAAGACCAGGGTAGGGCAGCTGAGAAGCTGCCTCCATCAGAGGGGGGAACAAGCTGTCCTTCCACAGAGACATTCCTCTCACAGCCAGATGCACCCACACAACTCTCGGGCCATCTTGCCAATGGCAGCTGTGACACATCAATTCTTTCTAGGGAGGTGAATTAATTTTTTCCATCTGTAAACTTAGGGGGAGAACTGCAGTTTTTGTTAATCTTTGTAGCAACACTGTAATGGTCCACACAGAACTCAAAAGTGCAGCTTTGTGCTAGATCTGGCTGCTTAGACTTGCTAGGACCTAAAACTTCCCATTTTATGGCATGAAAAGAACAAAAAGCCAAAAATGAAACCCACAGGGAAAGAAAGGCTTTTGAAGAAAAATACGTGGAAGTATAAACAAAACAGAGGCTGAATGAACATTAATATGGCTCTGCACTTTCTGCCAATGGGCTCTAATCCCATTATCATTAAATTTGCTGGGCAGTTGCATTTTGGTATTTGAACATTTAGAAACAATGCAACAGACGCTGGCAAAAAGAAAGAAGAAAAAAAGAAAAAAATTTTTTTTTTTTTTTAAAGCTATTTATATGCACTTGGCACAGCTCTCCTGGGTTTGGAGTAGTTTCCCTCTTTCTTCTTCGTCTTTCCCCCCACTTCTAACTTCGTGCTCCTCTCCCGTCCTCACAGCACACACACCGGATCGCCAGGCACTGCGCCGCCGCCCCTCCCCCAGTCCCGTCGGAAAAGTTCTTTCCGCGGTCTCTGCCGCCACCTCCTGGCCAATGCGCGGAACGGCCGCTGCGTCCCGCAAGCAGCACAACGCATGCGCGTACAAAATGCGGAAGTGCCGTTCTAACCGCTCTACTCAGCTAATCCGCCGCCTCTCTATGGTCATCAGTCCTCCAGGTAATAGCGAACATAGCGGCGAACAGCCCCGGCCCGGCCCGGCAGGTTATTTCGCGTGATTAGTTTCGAGTACTCACCTACGCGTGCGTTGTTTTCGACTCCTCATGACGCGTACGAGGAGCGCAGGGGCCGCTGGGAGCCAGAATAGGCTGTTCCCGAGGCAGGCTCCAAGAATCGACTGCTCGCCTGCACCTCGAGGCTTTGTAGATTTGAATGCTAGTTACGAGTGTCCTGGCGCATGCGCTCTGTTGCCTCGAGGACTAACCATAACAAAGCTCGGCGGATTTGCTGCGCAGAGCGAGGAACATCACCGCCGCGTGCCCGTGCGCATGCGCCCTGGTGCCTGCGGCGCCAAACAAACACGGCCGCAATTCCAGCTATTGGCCACGAGGGGGCACTGGAGACCGCGGAAACAACAACGACTGGCTCGACGCGCAGCCGCGCCGCAGCTTCTGGCGCTCTTCTCCCTGCCGTGATAGCAGAGGAAAAACGCAGTTAGATGGGGGTTGAGTGAGGAGAAAATTACGTCAATTGGAAAAAGACGAAGAAAACCAAGGAAAACTTCTCTACACCCAGCAAACCTCTGCTAAGCACGTAGGAATATTATATCTTAATTTTATAAGTCTCACTTTTTATCACTCACGTAATATTATTATATCTTAATTTTATAAGTCTCACTTTTTTTTTTTAACCAACTGTCACTGGAGCACTGTCAGTAGATGTACCAGAAATATTGACAAGGGTTAAAGAAAATTGTTCTCATGTTGTTTTGGTTTTTTCTTGTTTTTTTTTTTCTACTTCACATAAATCAGGAGAGTTCTTTGTTTTTCAGTGCCACCAAAGGAGCCATTTCTTCACTGATATTGAAATTCATTATGAATGCCTCTAACAAAAATGATTAGTTGAGCCATTGTATTTAACATGAGCATTTTCACCCACAGCCAAAGCATAGGAATTGATATTAGCAGTTTAACTCTCCAATTTTTTTTCAAAAGACTTTCATATTTCTTCAGTTCAGCTGGCTACAGTCTTGTGAGACAAACTCACAATCAGAAAATGGTTTTGATTTTTTTGCAATCAGATTTGCTGCTGCATTATCAAGTTTTATTAAGGATTCCCTTGGAGTTTTAACTTGATTCAAAATAGTTTGTTAAGGTGACAGGCTATTTCCAGTTGTGCTGTTTTGTTTTTACAAAGCATTTCTTGATGTGCAGCACATTTTGCAATGTGTTTCTGCCTATAATATTGTTTCAGGATATGTTTGCATCGGAGAGACGGGGTGTCTCAGGAGCAGAGGCAAGTGAACTACACAGTCAGAGCAGCACAGAGTTATGAGTTTTATTTGGCCTATGCACACGCACAGGTATCCATTTTTGATAGCCCCAGAAGATGGCAAGCAGAAACTCCCTAAGCAAGTGCAATAGGAGCACTAGTAAGCTAAACCAGAATCTCTCTAAGCAATCACAATATTACTTACTGACCTAGAGAGAGGGATGAAATTCTGGGAAGGAGTCTGCCTGCAGTGCTTTCAAAACATGTCAGCAGGGCATTCCCTGCTGCAAAGTGCATCTTTCCTCTCTCCTCTGTTGTCGGCAACTGCGCAATGCAACACTCCTCCACTGCAGCCTCCCTCCTGCTTTTACTCTCTTCAGAGTCTGCAGCATTTTTTTCCACCTGCATGCTGTATCCGTGCAGCCAACACATGATACAGAGCCCAAGTGGAACACCTGCTTGCAAAACAAATCCTTGTAAAACAAGATAAGTTAGCAAGGTTTCTCCCTAATTAAAAATCAATAAAATAATGAAAGGAACATATATTTGCATCTACAGCCTGTAAATCAGTTATAATCATAAGTTATACGGGCTGTGTGCAGGTCTTATAATGCCCACTTTTTCTAATTCCTGCACCGTTCTCGATATTTCATCTTGCCCACCCGGGAGTCTATACTGTCTAACATTAGTAATCCGGCGTGGTTTCGGCAGGCAAACAGGCTCATGTTTCGCATGGCCTCTTAATATTGCCTGCACCGCCCGGATACTGATACATCTTTGTCGAAGTCTGAACTCTCCCACAGTTGTTTGGAGAGCCAGACCCCATAGAATGTCTATGCCCAGGATGTATTCTTGGACTGGGGCAATAGACACCTTGTACTCCCGGGGTGGGAGACGCCCAACCCCCAATTTTAACCATGTTTGGGTGACAGGAATAGTCTGTCCCCCAAAGCCACCAATCATCACTCTGTCGCCATCAAATTTTCCCGGATCTCCATAGATAATTGATGTTTCTGCTCCTGTGTCTACTAGTGCCATAACTCTCTGAATATTTTTTCGGGACCAATAAATCGTTAATTCTACATAGGGCCTCCGGTCCCGTCTGGAGGCCCTACGGGGACTAACATCCCTTGTCACTGCATGAATTGTGCTAGGGCCAGTTCTTTTGCTTCTGACGGCTCAGGCATTGTGGCCCGAGACACCTGAGGTGGCTTCTTTTTCCTGTTTGGAATAATAAAATCTTCTAGGTTCCATGTTGTTGTTGGAACCCTCTCTATAGCTCTTACCCTTGATTTCTTAGGGTAGCTCTGGAATTTTTGATTGTCCTTTAGTTGTCTCCAGAGCTGGAGAAGGACGTGGTTGGGCTGGCGGTCGATCTTAGCAAATTGGACCCCAGCCCAAATTAAATCATTAAACATTTGTTTTCGGGATACCCTGATGGGTCCCGATGGAGGAGCTCGAGTAGCCGGCATTTTGGTTTTATTTACCGGCAGGACCTCTGCTTCCTCCAAAAACCGAATATTGCGCCTAGTCCGCAGGCATTCTGTTTCTCCCAAGTCGGCAACTAACTGGGCAGCCTGCTGGACTACGGCTTCTGATGCTACAAGAGGATTTAATATGGAGACTAGGGTGCCGTACAGATGGGAGGGAGCTTGCTGTAGAATTAGATCTCTCATCCCTGCTGAAAATTTAACCATATCAGGGCCATCAACCATATCAGGGCCATCAAATGTATCTTCATAGATGGCCTCTCTTACACCCAGTTCACAGATATAGTTTTGAAGGTCCTCCATGGAGGACCACATACCTGTATGTAACGGTATGTCTGATTTATTCGGCCATACCATATGGCAGGCCGCCATTAACCATTCCAGTATGGAATGGTTTTCATCACGATATTGATTGCCTACGTATAACCTCTGTCTGAGAGCAGATATGCCTATCATGGCAGCAGCTCTACCCTGATGAGTGGCCAGGCCTAGCCCAGAGTCACAGCAAGGTTTGCAGAGCAGCATTGACAAATAAAGCAACAGAACTGAGAAAAGGCTGTCTCCTGAAGAAGATATTTTAAACAAAGTCACGTGTCAAAAGAATGTAATGACAGTGCTCTCTAATGGGACATAAGCACCATAGCAGGTAACCATACAAGACCATATGACCATACCTAACAGGTAACCATACATAACCTACAAGAACCATAGTAGCAGGGAATGAAGAAAAATTAGCTCACCCCTTCCAGAAACTAGCAACAATTCCAAAGAAGAGCAAACTCAGAGAGACACTGCTCCCTCTGCTGCTAACACTTAAAGAAAAGCACATTTTCCAATCATTGCTTGCACCTGAGCTCCCTGGGATAGCCTTGACCTCTCCACTGATGTTCAATCATTGGTTCAGGCTGTGAAGGGATGGAGTGCAGCAGAGTTGCCAGGTCACAGCCTGAACCAAAGAGTGAGTAGGTCAGGGGTCAACTCCTGCGTGTTTGGGAAACATGAAGTACAACGTGCTTTGTGATGCAGGTACAGTACCTATCAATGACGTGATTGACAGGTGATTGTTGCAAGGTGATTGTTGGCGGTCTTCTTATGGTTCTGTTGGAACAGTACTTGATGTTCCTTGTGGAGGCTTATCTTCTTCAGTTTGGGTTTGGGTTCACTGGTTCCCAGAATTTCAGCACTCCACCACCTGGTGTCATGACATACCCTCGTAGACACTGAAGCACGCTGAAGTGTTGATGCTCCTACCAGTGGTCCTGTGGACTTTACAGCCTCAAGGGGAGTAGTACAAATGCCCGTGGCTGAGCATGGACTACATGAAAATCTTTCAAAATGGAAAGACTCACTGGTATGCCCTTACCTTGGTCAGCTGCTCCCTTTTAACTATGTGCTGATGATCATGAAGACAATTGCCACAGTCTAGTTCAGGCAATGAGTAAATCCATGGAGAATACTCAGTTCTGCAGCGCTGCCTGTCTTGTTACTTTCTTGGCAAAAAAGGCCCGTGGCTGAACGGTGCCTTCAGAAAGACCTGACATTTCCCAAGTGAGCCTTAAAAGGAACACGTTCTATCATCTTCTTCTCCCTACATGGAACATTCCTTCTTAGCCCAGGTTTTTGATTCAACAGAAGGGGAATGCAAGCTCATCAAATATGCCTGTAGTGTTTGCGGGTACAGCTCTCCTGAGTTCTGAAATACCACATCTTTCTTCTGCTAAAGGTGGATTTGGCACGCAAATTTGCCCAGGGAATACCAGCTTCTGTATTTTCCTTCATCATTCTATTCCATTTAGTCAGAGTTGCAGCCAAACTGAGAACGCCATGACCATTGCTACAAACACCTCAAATGAACTGTAACAAGGCAGAAAGAAGATCTGAACTTTAGACTAAGGATGACAGCCCTACCATTCCTGCCTGAGTTGGTAGCCCCATGATCTGGAAGCAGTTGTGAAGTGAGAACACACATGCACACACAGCTCCAGAAATCAGATTTCCTGCACCATGAACGGACCCCTTTCAACGGTCATTGTTTTCTCAGAACTTGCAACTTTCCACCCTGCAACAAAACATCATCCTTCAACCCAGCAGAGATCTGGGTTGCTTCCTTTATTTTTTGAAAGTTACAGTTTTTATGAGATAAGCAGAGGCCAAGGGGAGAAATTGGACATAGTGCTCATTTTCTGCTGAGCCATCCCTGTAACACACTCTGGGATCCTGTTACTTTCTGCAGCATGGCATTTTTAATTGCCTTATCATAAAATATTTTTTAAAGCACTGAACATTAAGGGATTTAAACCTCTTCAATGCTCCTGGATGGCAATCTCTCAAGGCTCATACTGAGGCCAGCTCCATATAAGAAATAGAATGTGGGCAACAAAGGAATACCATAAATTAATGACAAGTATTGTAGAGAATATTTGAAAGACTTGAAATAAGACCTCTAGGAGATCTGCATTTCAATAATAAGCCAAAGCAGTAAGTGAGGGAGGAAGGAAGGAAGGAAGGAGGGAAGGAAGGAAGGAAGGAAGGAAGGAATATTTCTGTTCTTTCCGGGGT